TAGAAAGTACTTTCTTGGAATGAAGAATTTCTGCAGTTCAGGGTAGGATTTCAGCATCCGTCTAAGCAAAAGGTTTTTCTTGGTGTTAATGTACTGTCTACTGGTGTAATGGAAAGCCATTGGCTATTTGAGAAATCTTAGTTCGAGATATGAAAGCTCCCATATCTCAAAATTATGGGAGTAAGATCATTATAAATAATTATGGCTGGATCTTTCAATATAAGTAATTATAACTGAATGAAAACCTGGACCAGAAACCCTGGATAAAATCACAGAAGAAAAAGAATTTTCCAAGATCAATTTCTTCCTGCAAGTGCCTGTTGCAGTCATTTGATTGCTAAGGAGCTGAGTTTTAGATTTTGTAGCCTCCAATGGAAATTTTACATCACAGCAAGCTGTACACAAGAGGCTTAATAAGAGAAACCTTTATGCCAGAAAATCAATGGTTAATATTTTACTGACTTTACATCAAAAGAGGAGCCATCTGATTTCATACAAAGAGTTTCAGAGACAGTGTGTATAACAATGACATGACAATTTTTTTTCATATGTAAACTGTTACTTTCAACTCAGTGGAATGTGAAAATATTTTTATTCAGTCCAACATCTGAGTCTAAACATTTTCATATGAAGAAAACTAGGATTAAAATATTCCCAACATTAAGGTCGTCGTTACAGTAGTGCTGTTTGTGAATGTAATAATATTTGTCAATTGAAGTCTTGCACAGTGCTATAAGAAACCTTTTTTTATTATATTTTATTTTTGTGTACAAATTAGTTGATCTTTAAACAACATTTTGTAATGGATTAAAAATTATCAATATTAAGCACTGCCAAAAAAACACAAATCGCTATGAGATTGCACAAGAATCAAAATAATAGTTGATATATTAGGCAAAATGGTCATAACATTCATAGCAGAAGTAAAAAATGATCATTGCCAGTTGTTCTCCTAGGAACATAATGGATGAATCTTGCATACGAGGCATTCTTCCGTATAGATGTAAAAAAAACTAATAATAGAATCAAATGTTAAGGCTATGGATTTTGTTAAATTTATAAATTTATAGTTCTAAAAACAAGAAGTGCTAGTACATTATGCACTGAAAAATTAATTGCAATTCTATACTACTTTTTCCAGGGGAAATTAAATAACTATTAAAATTCTAATTTGAGAAATTGCTGAAATATTTATATATATATATGTAACACACATCGGCTTCCAAAAGTTAAGCACGCAATGCAAATTAGCAATTTTGAAAGCATAGCCGAATTTGAATGGCTGAAATCACTGCAGATGCAGACGGCAGTATGCAATTATATATTATAGCCACAGTCCAAACATGAGAGACAGTCATTGAAGATGCCAGCATTCCAGACAGTTTCAGAAAGTTCATTTAAATGCTGATAAAATATTTATAACTTCCACAGGATAAGTTTTGATAATATTCATTTTTCTATGGCTGAATGAAGACAGGAAGCACAGATATGCTGTTGGACACATTGAAACAGAACAGTCAATCAAAGATGTCACTCTTTTCTTTGGCATTAATCATTACGTAATTTATCAAATGTGAAAACAAGTCTAACAGTTGTCTGAAGACCTCTGCTTAGTCGCCCAAAGGTTTACCACACTTTCTGAAGATTGGTATATATTACTATAGTAGCTAAGCAAAATCAACAATTGTTACATCCATGCAGCATCATAGTGTGACAATACCTGCCATACTGTGCGCCGAGGGCTTCACATAAAGGAACTGTATGCCCAAATTCTAAATGTTATGTCCAGAGGGGCATAGCTCCCTCAAAATTGAGGCGGAAGCTTAACAGCTAGGTTTAGCACTATTTCAATCATCTGTGGTAGTACAGAGGTGCTGGTCTAGCTTCTACCTGTACTTGCTAATCAAATGGACTGTCTCAGATTGGTGCATTATCCTGTTCATGGACGAGTTCTAATTTGCTCTGGAATCAGATGAACGTGTACAAATCTAAAGAGAACAAGGCACAATGAGTCAGGCCCAGAACATCATGTGTTTATTGTATAGGACTCAAATTTCAATATAATATCACACTGAGTTACGTATCTTTTAATATGGTTCTGCAATGGCTATGCAGTATCCGGATGAAGTCTTGCAACCCGTTGTGCAGCAGTTAATCTCGATTTCCCCCTTATGAATAATGATGACAGTCCCCTCTAGCCAAAAAACATCATTAAATAAGTGCTTGAAGAATGAGGGCACCCCCCTCCCGATGTTAATCCCTTTGAAAATCATTGGGATGTTATCTTGCACATTTACTTCCTCCAGACAGCTGGAATCTTATGAAGTGAAGAAATGGTCATTGTTAACATCTGCAGTGGTTGATCATCTCATTGAGAGTATGGACAACAGCTGCAAAGTTTGTGTAAGGTCCATGGCGATCACTATCTTAATAAGTTTTAACTTTAAACATTAATTTGTTGATGACCAAAATGTGTTGCCATTCTATAATTTATAAAAATTAAATTTTATTTCCATCTTTGTATATAATGCTTTACTTTCATTTATAAATACATTTTCCCACCTTAATGTGCACTTTGGTATTAATCAAAGCTGTACTCCCCCCTTTTTTAACCCTCGTGTGCTTAGCCAGAGTGTGTATATAGTGGTGTATATAGAGGGTTCATATGAGACCCTTGTTTATTTTGTCTGCTTAAATGAAAATTTAATTAATTATGTGGTAAAATCAAAGGAATTTGAAGGATTAACAATTGAAAGCAAAATAAATTTCTCATATAATCACAAGAAAAATCAGCAAACTGTCTCATGATATTTCTATAAAAGAGATTATTGTAATAAAGTAATTATAAAATGAAAATGGTGAAGAGACAAAAAATTAAAAGATAATTTCAATTTTTGTTATCAAGAATCATGGAACATGGAAAAAAGTAACATGTTTATAGTCTGAAGGAAATAAAAAGATACACACAATTTCATAATTAAACTTGAAATAAATTATTTTCAGGATTTCATTAATTCTTTAAAACCCAAAGCCTTCGCTAACCTGCATGTTAAAATACCGAACAACACAAAGTTGTTTTCGAAAGTCACAGTCCATTTACGCACAAAGAAGAGTGAAGGATTCAAATAGCATCCTTTCTACTTCTAACAAATGAAGATAATAAACCACAAATAAATCCTTTTAAGACAACCTGTCTGCAATAACTGATACAATGTCTCTGGGGAAACTGCACCTGCTATTGCATACTTTAGGGAAGGGAAGAAAAGAACATCAGAATTTCGATCGCTTGAATGAAGGGCTGTCTGAGCCAATTTGGTCTTCAAAGAGTTAAAATGCTTTTAACAAGGAACTTGGATAATGAAATTCATAACAGTATAAAGCCATTAGGGAGACTATCACTATTAGTACTGCTGAACGAGCTTTCTAGCTTGATGTCACAAAAAAAAAAAAAAAAAAAAAAAAAAAAAATTACTGTACAACAAATTCAAATCTAATAGCAATCCTATTGAACTGTTAAAAAAAAAAAAAAAAAAAAAAATCTTTATTTTAAACAAAATTTTTTTGAAAAAACACCAACCTTTAAAACCTACTCTAAAATTAGATGATGTGAAAGAAGGAAATGATGTGTGGTTACTTCTGATACATATTATACTTAATGGTAAACATCTTGTTCAATTGCATACCATGAAAACTGGATTCCCATTTAAAGGAATATTTCTAAGACTGCACCTTCGATGTACACACAGACATTCTATCTTTATTTTCAGTAAATGTTCTGATCTGTCCTTTTGTGTGTGTGCGCTACATAACACTTAAAAGATATGAAACTGCAGCAAAACATTAAAAAACCCACACAGCTCAACAAACTAACTACCCTTTTTTGCAAATGGATTCAGTTTTTTGACCATGTGCAGAAGCATCACAGGATTCAACTTAACATGGGTAGATAAGACATATAGCTATTTGATCATTCACAAAATTAAGATATCCAGAATAGAACCTTGTAAAATATGTCCTTTTTATGCTGTTGAAATAGAGATTTAAATTATTCTTAAAAGATTAAATAAATAATTACGATGATTTTGAACTAGTGTTCTGTCTGTATTTTATAAAAGCATAAGAGTTGAAACATTCAAAAGCTATCCGCTTCTGTGAAGACTTAATAAATAGTCACTTTCAAAGTAGACAGCAGAGTTTTAAACTAGAACATATGACACAATGTCCTGAAGTTCATGAATTAAATATGTCTTATGTATGCTCCTTTTTTAACACGACAGATACAAAAGTAATTGTAAAACTCTTCCCAAACATGTCTTCAGCCTCTCCGCGTCAACAGCAGTTGTGTTGTTTAATATTGTTCAAACCTGTAAGAACAGCAGGAACAAAAAGTCAGTACTTGATGTATTCCCACTAGAAATAGTCATGCTGTATTGAATCCGGAGTTCTTGTTGGCCAATTGTCATATGTTCTAGTCAATTCAAAACTAATCCAATGTCAAGGCAGATTTTTGGCTGCACCATATTGTCAAAATGATGCTCCACAATTGTAAGAAAATTTATTTTTACATATTCAAACATATAAAATGCTCTTTCTACCTGATTAGTGGCCCTGTTGCTCAAAAGATGTCAAAAGTGCTCTGTGATGTGAATATATGTAAACAAAATAAAAGATGATGATAAGGTAAGATACATTTCCTGACAAAAATTAACATTTTTCTATTTATAAAACATTTAATCTGTATAGTCCTTTATCCTGCATATCTCATGCACACAGATAACCAAGAATATAGGAACTTTGGTGAAACTGATGAAATCAAATCTTTTAATTTTGTAAACAATCCCCATGAATAATACTCATATATTGAAACTGGACAGTCATCTTACAAAACATGAGGAGGAGTTAGCTAGGAGGACAGTTATTAAAAATTTTCAAAATGGGCCAAAGATTTTTGCAAGCATAAGTGAAGTCTGTTTAAGATTTAATGATTTAAGACAACAAAATTGAAGACAATATACTTTATTAATGAAATATAGCATATAGAAACATTTTGTTCATAAAACAAACCTTATGGTTATTTTATCAATATTCTGCTAGCATCCCCATGAGATATGATTTATTTACAACATGAAGATATACACTCCTTTTTACAATATTTAAGACAGTACCAAAACATGAAAATTTAATGTCCTGTTTATAATGGGATACTTTAGATTTCCAAAGTATGAATTTATCTATTATAATAAAAAAGTGTAAAGCTAGAATTAACTTTGTTCATTTTAGTAACATTTACACATATAAACTTTAATAACAATTCTGTCAGTAAAACCATGACCTAAACTGCTATAACAGAAGGCTAACCAAATTTGGTCAGCCAATAATTCTCTCTACCAATACATTTTTTTAAATTACATAAAGAATATTCTAATTTTCAGAATTCATTTGATTAAACTTACACTGCTTTTATATAAGGGCACATTCATTTTATCAATAATAGCACAATTTTTAATGCATACAAGAGAATTTATATTACAGCTGGGGGGAAAATATACCAATTTGAATTTTAAAATCAGGTAAAAACCAGTCTAAAATTGGTGTGAATTTCTGAGCTTTCAGCACTGCATGAAATTTCAATATGGGTTTTTCTCACTCCTTGAAGATGACAGATCATTACTGTATTCTCTAGAATTGAATACGGTCACCCCATCAAAAGAAATCAATAATAACCTCAATTAAACTAACTCTTCTTTTTAATAGTTTTGTATAAAACTAATATAAAGAAAAGAAAATTGCTTTTTAGGACTTCTATGGCATTAATAGCATGAATAGATATTAAATGTTCCAGGAAAATTGTAATTTCTGTTACTCAAAATATAATCTGTAGGCGTTAAATGCTAGTTACTTGAAATTCATATGAATACAGCTAATCCAAACATAATTATCAACCATTAGTATGTGGATGAAAGAAAACATAGAATTTAAATTAAAAAAAAATTGTAATCAATGAAACTGGTAAATAGAGTCTACATTATTAGTAATGCCATAAAAAAGAGAAAAGATTTTTGCGATATTAATTGTAGATATACAAAAGTTAATCAGCTGTACCATATTTTATACTGAAAATAAAATGACAATTGCATTTATATATCCTCTTTTAACAAATTAGTAAATAAGTTGTATTTTTCTGGTGCATAGGAAACACATACATTTGTCCCAAAACATACCCATACATTTTTCAAAATTCATTTTGAAATTTGTTTCAATGTTAACAGTAAAGAAAAGAAAATACTAATTTTTAAAATGCTACAGATGCATTATATTCTAATTTAATGACATGGTAAAATTATAAAAAGTTGTTACTTATCTAAACATTTTTAAAATCCAGCAAAGAGTTAAAATAAAATATCTAAAAAACATACACGGCTCTGAAAAATCAAATAATTATATTTTCAGCACTGCAGTCATGGTAAGTTATGCAACTTGGAACAGTTGATTGTATATTATTGATAGCATATGTATATAAATCAAATGCACAGATGAATGCAATGAACTACAATTTATAGTTTCAAAAAGTGGACTTTTTAAAGTGCCAACATGTTTCTCACAAAGTGATACTTCATTAAAATATTTATCATTTTAATATACAACAGAAGAGGGGAATGTAAAAAAAAGATTTCCGTACAGCATTTTTGAAAATGCTAGTTCTTTCTGAAATTCTAGTAGCTAATAAATTGTTCTTTACAACAATTTTTCCTTTATAAATATAACAGCTCTAAATATGTGATATATATTAATGTTTTAGATATTATAAATGAACAAAGAGAGCTCACTTTTTATTTTTATCATACTCAAACACTATATTAGAAAAAAGAATAGAACAGGGATTCTATGTAAAATGTTGAAAGAAATTAAAAGGACAACTATTTATTTGGGACGAGCTCTGAGATATAGATCTGACGAAAATGGTCAAAATTAGAAATTACTTAGAAGCCCGAACAAACATCATCATCTCTCCTACCCACCAGAATAAAAACATTATAGAAGTTACAAATTAAAAAATAGCTTTATGTATTTATGACATCATTCTGAAATACTAAATTTTTCAGAATTATGGTGGATTTATGATGTGGAATGATTTGAGAACCTGATAGCATGAATGCTTCACTTGCAATGAAAGCTGACAGTAATTTTGATGTTCTAACAAACCATAAACCCAGGCTTTCAGGTAACCATCCACAAGAATTATTAAAATGATAAAAACACAAGAATCAATTATAACAAAATTAATGAAGTAATGATACATTACATGTACTTATATTAACAGATGATAGTTATAAACCTGCTTCATACCAAAAAAATCTTGAAATCTCTAAAAAATCCCTAAATTCCAATACATCTTAGTATTCAAAGCAATGTATTCTAAAATAATGTAATATATGATATGTAGTATTTGTTTTAAAAAGGTTCACTGCAAATTTAAAAAAAAAAAAAAAAAAAAAAAAAAAAAAAAAGTATCATTCCTGTTTTTGAATGATCATACAGTACTAACAAACTGAACACAAAAGAAGGGGGGGAATATGCCATAAGATCACAATGTAGTATAAGGGACTACTCTTATTAATTAAGCATTGTAAACATTTGCTAATCCTTCACGCCACATGAAATGACTGAAGTGCATAAATTATTCAAATATATAAATTACATTTTTTCACTTACATAAGCTAAATTTTTTCAGGTTAAAATAAATTACACCCAATATGAACTAATTACTCTGTTTAATTCACCTTCAGTGGAATAAAATTTTTTAAATAACTTAGATAATAAGAATTGTGAATGCAAGATTATTCATTAGTGTAAAAATTTAAGTAAAAAGAAAAAATTACCAATAAGTAAGTTTTAACTCTTCACTAACAAAAAGATTAGTGTTCAGTATTTTACTTAAATTTTAACTTAACTGGAAAAAAAAAATCAATTCACATTGCAGAACTTTCAACAACACTTTCATTAATTGAAAGATCAGTATCTGGTTCAATATCAACAGTCATGGCCAAATCACAACTGTCTGGTGCAATATCTTCCACCAATTCACCTTCATTTATATCGACTGCACTCAAAGTTTTTTTTGTAAGATGTGTTTTCAGATGTTTAGAAAGGTGATCACTGCGCATAAATCGTTTTAGGCATTCTGCACATTGAAATCTCTTTTCACCTATAAAAGATAAAAGATAATTTTTAAAATTTTAATAAAATATAATTAATTCCATCATTCGAGCACACTGAAAAAAAATTACATGTCTAGTTTATGGTAAAAAAGATTCTAATAAATTAATTTTAATGAGTATCATTTTATATGTTAATAATTTTTTATTAATATTATCTATAGCATAAAAAACTAATTGTTTAATAGCACAACATAAAAACCACACAATTTTGGTGAAAAGAACAAACATGAATTATAGATGTATGCAATTTTGTGGGTGAAAAGCGGAAGTCCAGCAAAGAATTAAAAAAATAACAGTAACTACCATAAAAATTATGCATAACTATACTTTCCATAAAAACCATTCATTAAATTATGCAAAAAACTTATGCACAGTTTTAGTACTTGTCATAAAAATTATGCATAACAGGGTTATCTGCATAAGATAATTATCTTTTACAGGGTTCATAGCCACATTTTAGTTAAAAAAATAAGCACCTATAAGTACTTTTCAAGCACATTTTAAGGAAAAAATAAGCACCTGTCTAATTACATTATACACAACTGCATCATAATCTTAAAAGAAAAATTAGACTTGTAATTTAAAATATGAGCAATGCAATATTTATTAAGAGAATGAGCATTACCTCAACAATGGAAAACAATAAACTTTTTTTTTTTTTAATTTTAAATGACAGTTCAATTTACAGAATTAGTTTACAATGAGAGAAAAAAAAAACTATGCAGAACTAAACTATATTACAAAATTTAATGATGATATTTCAGTTGAAAATATAGAAAATAAATAATAATAAGCCATATCAATTGTATTCATTTGGCACCTAATAATAAATACAATTTATTTTCCCACTCATATTAATATTTAAATAATTTAACTTAAATCAAAATTCTGAACATTTTCTAAATTTTCATTGCATAACAGTTTTCCCTTAACATATATCCCAAGCAAAGTAATTTAAGTAAAAAAGAGGCACATTTCTGAAATCAGAAGACGGGAAATTGCTTCATTCAGTCATCCTTTAACAGTAAAAGCTTAACTAACCCGCATACTCGGAAATTCCCGAATATTCCGGACAGTAACTGGAAAAAGAGGAGTGGGGGAGATTGTAGCTGTTCTTTAGATTTAAATTTAGGCTAAATAAATGATTTTGACATTTCGATATGTGCATCATATAAAAACCAACGGAACTGAGAAATATTCTGCTTAGAAAGCACAGTAAAACTCTTTTAAGTGTGCATAAACAAATCTCAGACTGAACATCAAATTAATTATCAATGCAAAATACCGCAAACGTTATTGCGCAATACATGCGGCGTAATTCTTCCACATGTGATATTACGCAATCGGCAGCTGTGGAGAAAAAAGAACTAAATAAAGGAAAGAGACTTACTAATCTGGTGTGTTTCTGATTCTAATTTTCGACAGACTGTATTAAATTTCTGGAATAGAATCAATCTTCGCTTAGGTTGCGTAGACCGCAAAAACTTTTAGTCCTGTACAATCCAGATTGGACAGTGACAAAAAAAAGTCCGCTGCTTCAATATTAGAGATTTAGAAACTCCCATCCTCCGTACTGTATAATGTATTGGCAAAGAAAATGAAATTATTTTGACTATTTGATTACTTTCCTTTTATTTAAGCCATTCCGAATATTATTCCTTAGAAAGCTAATCTGTGTAAAATCACACTCATTTTTGAAAGTTTATCTAGTATACTTCAGCAGTTACTGCAACTATATTATTATAAATATTCATACATATGCTCATAATATAAGCATAACGATCATAATAAACACGAATATGAACTGACCACGCGGAACGAGAATACAAATTATTAAAATCTTGATAGAAATTCAAACGTGTGTAGTATTTGGGTGGGAAGAAAAGAATACCGAATGTACCGGAATTTTCTACGTTTTCGCAATTCTTTGGCCAATAGAACGACGTGCACTTGTCTGCACTCTCGCGCGTACCATAGGTTATGTTAATGCAGAGGAAGGGGGGGAAGCAATTTCCAGGATTATGATTCAACATCTGACGTTGCATATAAGAAAGAAAAGTTGTTTATTTAGTTTCGGCTTTGGTACGGGGAAAAAATGCGCGTTCATTAAAAACAAAGGATTAAAAAAAAAAAACACTAAAAGCAAAAAATAAGCACTAAAAACAAAAAAATAAGGACTTTTAAGAAAAAGTAAGCACCTATAAGGGCCTTTATATTTTATTTACAAATATAAGGACTTATAAGCACTTGTAAGGACCGCTACGAACCCTGTTTTACCTATCTTCCGAAAAAGAAAAATTTTTTCAGTATAAAAATAATTTAAGACTATTTAAACAAATCAATTACATTGCAAAATAGTATGCAATTAAACTGAGCAATTTCTAAAATTTTTATTGAATAGAAAAACACTTCTATTCTAAAATTTTTCACAGATTTGTATCTAAATGTAATACAATTTAATTACAAAATACATTAAAAATATCTGTTTCTTAATTTGTTTAATATTTTTTAAATTTTGTTTAATAACTTTTTTGGTTCATATTTAAAATTACTATAATAAAATTTTACATATTTAATCAAATTTTTATTAAAATTAAAACTAGTTTTAATGAACTTGACTTACAGTTATAACTGAAATTTTGAAGAAAGTGCAATAAAAGTTCAGCATATTGCTGTTCTAAAATATAGATCTCATAATAAAACAATTACTTAAAATGTTAGTTGATGCTATGCTTGTAATGTAAGCTGATGTAATTTTTAATTAGGCCAATTCAAAACTTCTTCAAAAAAGTTCTGGTTTTTTCCCTCAGTTTTATTTAAGAAACTTATTTAATAAACTTAAGATATTTAAGATAAATATATCACCAGTTTGTATGATACAGTATACCAATTTTAGGTCTATTTTCATATTTCAGTGAATTTAATGCTGCATACAAATAAAATAAAAATACACATACAACTAACTTTAAAAAGATAAATGTTTATCACTGTAGCTACATTTCATTATGGAAATTTATTTTACATTGAAATAAAAAAATAAAACTCAAAGTTAGGAATACAAATGGTTTTATAATACCATAGTTGTGAACCTTGAAATGTGAAAAATCATAAAATTCTCATGAGAAATGCAGGATTCTTGGGAGGTTTTTTGTACTGCATGACAACACCATTTCAAAGGCATTCCAAACCAATTCAAATTAACTTTGTAATGCATGATTCAGGTAGTAGAACTATTAGTAATATGATTTTGATGCAATATATATTCCTAATTAATTAGATATTCTAAATTTTATGTTCTTTGGCTAATTCATTTTGTAATTTTTTGCACTTTTTATACTGAGAAAATTCTGAGATTTATTTACCAAAGAACTTTTCAACGTGATGAAAATAAAATGAAAAATTTCTAAATTTTATGTTCTTTGGCTAATTCATTTTGTAATTTTTTGCACTTTTTATACTGAGAAAATTCTGAGATTTATTTACCAAAGAACTTTTCAACGTGATGAAAATAAAATGAAAAATTAATACAGTCAAAAGTCGTTAATTCGGACACCCATGATTCGGAATGATCTATAATCCAGACATCAAAACTAAAAACTTTCTGCGCATGTGCCGCGTTGACACATGCGCAGAGGCGTTCACGCGTGCGCGTAAGACCTTTTACGACTGCGCATATGAGTGTGCGCAAGTGCAGAATACGTTTTCGCGCGCGCATTTTATGTATAATGGACGTATAAGCTAAATAATTATCTATTTCAGTTAATGTTGATGATTGCGTTGTTCCTTAATTTCGAATGCATCCGGCTTATTATTTTTTGCAGACTGTAAGAGCAATTTTATAAAGTAAGCTTAAAACTTTCGATTATATCAAATAGAATTTCCGATAATATTTGTTAATATGTAAAGGATCTAAAGCGAAAGTATGTTTTGAAATCCGAAATCTGTTTATCAATTTCACGCTGCTCGGCGGCGGGCGCGTAATGAATTGGAAGTTGATTTGTCAGCACTATCCTTATCTTCAGCGCAGATGTTTTATTTTATTTGGCTTATAATTCCTTACCAAATGTAGTATTTCATCTCGATATGCGTCTTTGATATGATTTAAAACAAGTTCCTCGTCATTATAATGCTTCGATAGCGAAAGAAAAGTGACAGAGGTTATTGAAAACAAAAAATTTCGATTGACAAATTAGTCGGTATTCTTGACACAGCAATTATAGGACTTGAACGGCGGAACTTTGTAACTGAAACAGAAATTATGTCTGTTTAATAGAATTAAAGAGAAAGTATTATCACATGAACGAAGCAAAACTTAAACAACTTACATTGAAAGAAATGTTTAATAAAGTAAACAAAAATATTAAGCTTTTTTCTTTTTGCAAATTTTGATACCCTTTAGATCATAATTGTTCTTTATTTCATAAATTACGGTTTCATATTTTTTTTTAATTTCTGCATGCCATCTTACGAGATTTAAACTGATGATCTATAATCCGGAAAAATCGATAATCCGGAATCGCCGAAGTCCCGACGAGTCCGGATTAACGACTTTTGACTGTATATGTACTATTATATAAATAAACGTAGTTATGCACTATTTACTAATGTAAAACAAAGTTAAATACAAATATTAATTCATTAAACAGTGATTGAATCTTCATAAAAAGTTCACCAAATGCTTACATAGATTAAGACAATTCAGCATCATGTATAATAAGGCTCTTTTAATGGTACTATTAAGAACACCTACATGAACAATTCTGGAAGATTTTCTAAGCATGCAAAAAAGTATTCATGACAAATTTAATAAGTTTCAAAAACAGAATATGCAAGATTTACAATTAACCTCAGATAATGTGAATTTTCAGTTAACGAGGATTATTTTACACTTCAGTTTTTTTAGCAAACTGTCACAGTACCATGGATAAATAGAATTCAATAAAAAAGAAAACTCCACTCATATCTACTAAAATATAAACTTTACACACTAAAGGGGAAAATGTTTATGAATTAAACTATGTGCAAATTAAACACTGAATAAATTGCATAAAGATCTTAAGTTATGCAACAACTTTTAATCAACAACAAATATTAACAAACCTGTATGAGTTCTCCTGTGTCGCTGTAACTCATCAGAACGTGTAAATCTCTTTCCACAGAACATCCAGCTACATACAAATGGTCTTTCTCCAGTATGCCAACGAAGATGGGCTCGCAAGTGAGAAGTCTTCCCGTACACTTTATTACAACCTGGAACATGACAGATATGCTGCTTCTTTTTTGTCTCACTATTCCTAATTTTAGAAAGAGAAATGTTTTTAAAAAAAATTGCAATCAATATAAAACATGAAAAGCTAATAATTTCCAAATTAGCATAATACAGCATATTACTATAACAAGGTCTCGTGCATATTAAAATATTTTTCCGTGACAGGACTTGTCAAAATTTTCACTAAGTTTCTAGTAATTTTATATTAACTTCCTTTAACATCCTAACAATGTATTTTTTTAAAATTCATTTAATATAATTTACTTTAACATTTTAAAAAGATAAAAATATTGTAGAGGCCAGACCGAAGGCCTTCCTGGCTATCTGCATCCTACTGAACGATTACTTTTAACAGTATTTTCTGATTATATGCACCCTCACCAAAATGTTGTGGAAAGTATTCATGAGGTAAAGCAGTGTGTTGCCAAAATTGCTGTAGCAATTCAGGATGCTGCAAAGTATTCATGTGGCAGCCCAGTATGTGCCTAGCATATGTCTGACTTATGGAAATTCTCTGGTGTTTTTTAAATGAAAACAGTGTACAAGGACAAAACAGCAGCGCACACACTCACACACACCAAAAAAAAAAAAAAAAAAAAAAAAAAAAAAAAGAATTTCTGGAAAAATATAATCGTTTTATTACCAAAGTTACTTGTTTTTTAAATTTTATTGAGTGACTGCTCTTTTATGAAATTCGTTGCCTTTTGTGTGTTAGCTTGGTGAAAAATTAGTTGTCAACAAGTTTGCAAATCCAAAGTCACCAAATAATTCACAACTTTTCAGTGGGTGTGCAGATAATCAGAAAGTCATTTGTTAACTTTAAATACTTCAACTTCTGTACAATATTCCATACAATTAGATTATCAAAATAAGTTCAATACCCAATTTGTGGCAGTAACGGTAAGGTTTTGTACAACTGTGGGATGAAATTGTTGACAGAATCTCACCAACTTCAACATTTAACAATATTTAATATTATACAGATATATTATTCATGGAAAAGCTTTATGCATTTAGAAGTTGCCTGACACAGGTCCCTACTCTTCAGGAAGCAAAAATAATCTGTACAATTCTGCTAGAAATTACACTATAAAATGATGATAAAATTAATAAATGACACAACTATTGGATTAGTCCATAAATTTGTGCACATTTTTTGGTAAATTTTTAAATAATATAAAAAAAACAATTTAACATTTTAATAAATTATATATTTTCCTCCATTATCTACAATGTCTCACCATCTTACAGGTAGCTTTTTTATGTCACTGTAGAGAGAGACTGGTTTTCCTGCAAAAAAAACTTGAAAGTTCTTTGTGTACATCCTGTTTAGAATTTAATTTTTTTCCCAGTAAAAAATTTTGTAAGGCACAAAAAAAGCAAAAATCACTTGGGGCAATATCTGGGGATTAAGCAGGATGTGGCAAAAGTTCCCAATTAAATTCACTAATTTTCTGCAGCATTGTTCGAGCCATATGCGGTTCTAGCTTTATCATGATGAAACAATACTTTCTTGATATTCACCAATTGTGGGCGTTTTTTGATCAATTCTGAGTTCAGACGGCAAAGTTGTTCACTATAAACTTCTGAATTAATCATTTGATTTGGTTCTAACAGTTCAAAACATCCTGAACGGGGTTTATCATAAATGCTGCTTTTTCCAACTTGAAATTTTTTAAACCATTTAAAGTCCTTTTTTGCAGTCCTTTTTTGGGCAGTCCTTACACTAAAAGTAAAGATTAGTAGTGTGTTCATGTACACTACTAATCTTTACTGCTGCATACCTGACAGATTCACCACACGAAAATAAAAAATGTAGCACAGCACATTTCTACTCATTATCTATATTCCATCTTCTATGGGTACTAAAATGCGTTCGATATTTACGAAAGTTGGTGATGAACTGAATAATATGTTAGTCAAATGATGGCAAGTTTTAACAGGTTCAAAATTGTATTGTTTTAGTAAATGTGTTATAGTGAATTCCATGCATACTCTTAATGTGCACGAACTTATGGACTGACCCGATATAATGCCATCTACTGAAAAAGGGAAAATTTTAAAAATGAAAATCCTAAGACAAGTTTTTTGGGGGAAGGTAGATCAAATTGGAATTTTTAAAACTTAACTACAACAGACATTTGATAAATGACAGAGTCATCAAAGAAATCTAATTTATCAACTGACCAAATTTTGGTAAAACTAAATTATGGTTAAAGAGGCCAAAATAATAAGCAATGGAATATTTATTGATTTCTCTCTTACTATCTGAAGATGGTCTTTAATTGGAAATTTACAGTCCTCTTAGTTTGACTGGCACATGTTATACCACATTGACAAGAAATTTTGCTCATGAATTAAAAGATCTGATTGGTTTTTAAATATTGAACAAATCTTTCAGGTCAAAAGTTGGAAAACAATTTGATAAATTTGATTCAATTTAATAGAAAATGCTCTTCATAGTAGTAAAATAGACAACTGTTAAAAGCTTCATCAGTCATACGAGAACTTCTCAATACGTATGACAATACGTATGAATTATCTCAATACGTATGACTTTCTTTAAAGTCAATTACTTAAAACTTTACAAAATAAATATGAAAGGCATTTAACACATAAAGACTAAAAAGGAAAGTTGGTTTGTTAATTGATTATTTCAAAGTATGTGACAGTTATATATGTCTTACAAAGGATGTCATCATGGAGAACATTCTAATGGAAATGGCCTAAACTAATATACCAGAAGAGAAAATTTGCTATTCCATCATAGTATCACGGTTAGGATTTTTTTTTTTTTTTTTTTCTAATTGTACTGGTATAATGACTGGCACTACGTAATATCAGCAGCGAAAACCCACTAATTACAGTAAGTGATTAAACATGCACTATCAGCAGCAGCAACAAGTGACAGTAGGCCCACACCAAGTCACCTCCACCAAGTAGTCAAAATGGCAGCCAATGGTTATAATTAAACTGAAATCCTTACTCACTCTTTTGTCCATTTAAGCGGCATTAATATGTGGTAAAGAGAATAAATATCGTTTTCTAATTTAATTTTTATAAAATCATACACAGTCCACAACACATGCTACCAGCATTTGTGAATAACCACAAAGTCAGCCCATGAGAATCAAACACAGAATGAACTACCAATGCTCAACAGTCTTATATGTCTAATAATTAATTCATGTAACATGAAAAAAATTCCTTTCCTTTTTTGACAGTGTTTTACATAATTTGATATTAAAACAGCATAAATAACTGGACTAAGTTTTCATACAACAAGAGTCTTTATTTTAGCAATACCGGCAATTTGAAAACAATACATACCATAAAGCAGAACTATTAAGCTAAAAATTATTTAAATTATTTCCTTTCTCAATTATCAGCAACTGATAGGCACACATGAAAATTATTTATTAACTGTCAAAAATTAAATGTAAAATTCTTAATGCTACATGTTTTTAAATGGTAATTTTTTGGCTTTGCAAGTGCTCAAACTATACACATACCTTCAAGATAAATGAATATAGGCATAGTATCTCTTACTCTATAAAAATACCAACAAGTATGAACGATTATTGTTGCCTAAATTTCAGAAAATAACAAATTACTTCTGCACCCAGGATAGGTACTATTTAGATGAAAAACATTTTCTTCTATTATAGTTCTATACTTTTTTTATTCATTGGTTGACTTCTTTAATTTATATCTTAAATTTTTAAATAAATAGATTTACCTTCCATCAGAATCCCTGCAGTTTGGACAAGTGCAAGCAACCCTCCTCATCCTTCGACCCGAACCAATATCCGAGTTGGAGGATGGAGATTCAGTGGAAGTAGATGTCGTAGATGTAGCAGACTGATTCTGTGTGGAAGTTGTTGGTTGTTGCGATGAGTTAACAGCTGGATTTGTAGTCGTGGCCACAACCTGCCACTTTGTAGGGTCATTAGGATCTTGTTGAAGCTGCTGGGCTGAAAAGAAAATTATAGCATCACATTTTTTATACTATAATCTATATATTTTTATAGTTAGCTATAAAAATTAAAAAATCTAATCTTCATCAAATATTAAATTATTTTAATTATATTCATAAAAAATATGACAATTTATAGATGTTAACATATTCTTTCCTTAAGGTATTTTACAGATGAATTTAATTTTTACACCAAATTTACAGCAAAAGAAAGTTATGCTATGCCAAGCTGAGATAAAATTGGAGTCATCTGACAGTACAAAAAAATGGCAAGGGAGTCATAAAAACTTCCAAGATTTCCTTAGCAAATTATTTTCAGAACCATATAAAATAAATTTCATAAATTTCCAAATAAGTAAAAAATATTTTGCAAGAAATTTAAATCTTGGGTACAGAATTAGTAAACTAAATTATTAAATTTCTTTATTTTTTCAATCATAGTGGAAATATTAATTTTTAGAAAATATATGTTTGTTTACAGTTTTCATCATTTAGGAGAAGAGAATATTCTTAAATGCTTTTCCCATTCCATATGAATTTTATACATTCAACAACAGATTATCACTGTTGCTTTTCACAGTTTTATTTTTATTGATACCTTTATTTTCTCTGCTACAGTTTTAATGGAATTTTTACAATTAACCTGAGCAGCATGAATTATGTTTTCATTACTAGCGATGTTGTCTTTCTGTTAGATTATTTGGTCTTATTATTCTAATATTTCAGTAAAAGTTTGGAATAGTTTTTCTTTGAATATCAAGAGCAACTTTTATAACTAGCCAGATGTCTTATAACTAGTCAGGTGCGTCCTGCATTACCACAATTAATGCATTTAGGACTGGTGGTGGTGGTGGGTGTTTTTTTTTAACTATATATATATACACATATATATATAAATGTGTGTGGTGAACATCTAATACTAGCAGAATACTTACTGATTATTTGTGTTCCTGGATGAACTGTTTGAATAGGACTCAATGGTGGCATCTGCTGCTGGTGGTTTGTTGCAGTAGGAACAGCATTAGCAGCTATCACATTCGGCCCTAAACCTAAGCTTTGCAGTGTCTGAGCATTTGTTATGATTTGCTGTGCTTGACCTCCCTGCACTTGGACCCCTTGTAATCCAGCCACAGGTAAGCTTTGTACCTGTATTACATTTGCAGGCCTGAGTCCAGCGAGACCTTGAACACTTATTGGAGAGGTAGGCCACCAAGATCCTCCAGCTCCAGCAAGAATTTGACCAACCTGACCTTGAATTAATTGACCATTAGGTAACTGAAAATTAGTTACTGTCATTTGTTGCTGCTGCTGCTGTTGTTGCTGCTGCTGTTGTTGTTGTTGTTGTTGCTGCTGCTGTTGTTGTTGCTGTGCTCCATTTGCCGAAGCAACAGTAGTAGCAGTAACAGCCTGTCCTTGATTAGCATTATTAGCTTCAGAAGAAGATATCACCGAGCTTCCACTGGATGTTGTCCAGGTAGTAGATGTAGCAGCTTGAGAATTAGCTTGTGACATATGCACTGGAGTAGCTACTTGTAACTGCTGAACACCCTGTGCTTGTCCAGTAATCTGAAAAAGTAAATAATATGTACAGCAAAAGCAACTTGATAATGTTCACTATAGGCCTTTATACTATTTATGTAAGTTAGAAATCACTGGACAAAAAAGTAATTAAATTTTACGCTTAAATATAATGATACTAAGTAAAGGAAACGTATTGCTAACTGTATCGATAACATTTGACTTTTAAAGTGGCAAGTGGTGCAACCTTTTGAATCTGTTCAAGAATTGTGTTTAAACAGCATTATTAGCTAGATTTTATTATTATTTATTTTATTTTCATACTTTTCATTAATTAGGATCATTAAAAAAAACAATAAAATAATTTATTTTGTGCAGCAAAGTTACAACAGATCATAAATGAATGTACTGAGTTAAAGTTCATTTGTTTTCAGAACCTGATGATGGCTTTTCGTTGAATTGCAAGATATCAGAGTATATGAGTGAACTCTTTTTAATGTTAAAATAAAAATTTGAAAAAAAAAGGGGGGGATATTTAAAAAGTAAAAATTTTTTAAACATTATTTGGAGTTAAATAAGTCTGGAGCATTTTTATAATTAGATGATTGGGTTTTTTTACTGCCATCAAGTACTCTTTAAGAGAAGAACGTGATGTGAGCAGGTACTTTATTTCGAACTTATTTATAAACTTTTTGTATTATAAAAATTCAAAATAATGACAATACAATTGTTCAAAGTTGACTTTTTTTTGGGAGGGAGTGTGGTGCAAACTACAGGTTTTTCTAATTATTTGAAATCAAAAACCCGAAAATATTTAATTAAACTATAATCTTGCACAGATCCTGATCTTAAAGAAAAAAATTAAAAATTTTTGTTATAAATAATATTTATTTTTTAATGGTATTTAAGTTCAAGATATGGCCAATTAAGTCAAAAAATATTTGTGAAATTTGAAGTCAATTAACTTTTCAGCTAGGCTGTACTGCACATGATAAAATGTATCTTCAAAAAATGTGTTTTAAAGTTTTTGATACGAAAAGCAGTATTAAAATGATGATACAAAAAGCAGTATTAAAAGTAGGCATACCATTATATATGCTTAATCTGGACTGCCAGAACCATATCAGTATGCCTACCTGCTAAAGCTTTTCTGCCCGTGATCTCTATATACCTGCGATTGTTGCCATTTGGAATGCATTAATTTGGATGACTCCATGGGAACTTTAGGGTTCCAATTTGGGTTTATAACATTTAAAACACATTTTTCAGATGTTAAATGAATTTTACAAGCAATTAAAAAAAGGTGCAAAAAAAATTGATTCTACATACCTCTTCCTTTAACCTTTTGATGATCATCAACGAGCTCAGCTCACTTGCATTCCAGTTAGACATCACAGTGGATGCAAAGGAACACGCTTGCATTACCAAATTTATGACTGCAGATATCGTGCACATTTGGGAAAAAAGAATTACTTCTCTCAATTGCCGAAGGGTTAAGCTCATTTAAAAAAATTAAGTGTTACTTTGTGGGACTACAATTCTTACTTTACCAGTTCATGAAATATATATTTTACTGTAATCACACAGTTGACAAAATTAGCAAAACTACAGAAATCAGTGGTTGTATGTCTGTAATTGATTTTTATGAATACTACTGATGATAATGTGTTTGTTTCAGTAACCAATTGACACTTTTTGGCACAAAACTTGATGATATTCTTTACATCACAAAATTAACAAAATTATGGTTACATGAAGTTATCTGAGAATTCATCCAATGCAGATATGGACTCAGAAGACATCTTTAATTTAAGTTCAAATAAATATTATTTAACATTGAAATTATCAAGACACAATAACACGCCGAATAAATACTATTTCAGAAGTCAAACAGCAAAAATCAGCGTTATATTTTCAAAATTTTCGCAATACTAGTTTCGATGGTTTTACCGAACCACCATCCTCAGCTGCAAAACCGCAAATGCAAACCGCTTTCATTTGCGGTTTTGCAGCTGAGGATGGTGGTTCGGTAAAACCATCGAAACTAGCATTGCGAAATTTTGAAAATATAACGTTGATTTTTGTTGTTTGACTTCTGAATTAGTATTGAAATTATCGTCAAAAATTACTTAGCATAGTTATTACAAAAAGTATCATTTAAAATTAAGAGCTAAATATGCAAAAAATACCATTTAAAATAAAGGATAAGAAATCCATAATTAACTTTACTGTTTAAATTTCCGCTTTACTGTTTAAATTTCCATTAAGCATAACACACTCTTTAATATTACACAGCTAGAAATGAAAACTTTGTGCATATAAATAAAACACTTAATCATTTTTAAAATTTGCATTGGTAAAGAAATTGCACAAAATCAGTTTTCTGTGCAAAGAATGAATCGTCTGATACAAATCATTTAAAATTGGGATGGCTCAGCTTTTATAGGCACACTTGTGGATTTTAAGTACAAATGTTATGGAAAAATAAAATGTATTTACTAATGCTGTTGCAATAATTAAAAACAGCCTTTTCAAATATTTAAAAAAAAAGGGAGAAGAGAAAAAGAAGCAATATATGCAAATCTTGCAGTGTATTACACATTACAAACAACAGAAATGGCTTTCATGAAGAATAAACATTGTTGTTCCCCAAAACCACAGAAGGGAAGACAGAAAGAAAAACATATAAAACTATTTTTAAAATCAGTATATATTAACACTACTTCTTTCGTAAAAACTTTTACATTTTATCACAAGAAAATATGGAAATTTTGTAAAGCTAAATTACACGAATCAGCTTATATACAAATTCGTCAATCTCTCAAAAGATTTAGGTACTTTTCCATTAATGGGCGCAAGCAATAAATCACTAAACAACACACTTTTTTTTATACTTCGGGGGAGGGGGGGGAACTAATTTTAAATTAAATTAGTTACTTGTATTAGGAAAATGAGTTGTTTTATTTTTGAAATTTGTTTATAATGTTGGTTCATAGTACTATCATCGCCAAAGGAACAGATCTGATATCAGCGAAATTTGCACCCAGCCTTCTCAACTCTCAAACTTGTTTTTCTTTTACAAAGAAATGCCGAGCAGTCATACTGTTATTAGAATTTTCAGAATCTGATCATTGTAGTTTGAAATTTGCCATATAAAAATTTCTTATTCTACTCATCTTTGAGACAAAAAATAAAATGACACACAAAAATAAGACTAGCACAGATACTACAGATCATATACATGACAGCAAAATAACAGAAAAAATCTTCTAGCTTCATCAAATGAGTTACCAGAGTTCAAACTATCATCATTGGAGCCTGATGCTGTAATTTACAGTGATTTGATTGGAAACTATTCTGCCAATTTACCTGATGGGTAATATTTTTAATTTTGGGCAAATTTTTAAAGAAAAAACACATTCTCAGCTTATTCATGGATCAGCTTATATTTGGGAATATATGGGTACTTACTCATTATTCTTTGCTATCCATCTATACCCTTCATGTTACTATTATAACTGAGTAGTTTCTAAATCATACATTGAAAAGAAGTGACAAAATCCACACGGGGAGATATATGGAAGTAAATATGGCATAATATTAAAAATATAACTCATGATCTAGTTAAATTCTAAATTTTAAAATCATTGTTGTCATACTAACTTCTTTGATAAGGCTTCAAGATTTCTTCTGCTCTATGTTCCATACAGCAGTATTTTTCACTGGGTTAAATTTTAACACATTATTTGCAAACTTAACTTTTTTTTAGTTTACATTTAGAAAAAAATTAAATAATAATAATTAAAATATGTAATAAAAGCTTTTACTGATTTTAAATTTAAATTTGAAACAGTATGAAAGGTTTGAAAGAAGACAACTCTGAACTTCAGAATTATGTGAAGAGATTTTTAAACTTTCACGCAATCAATAATGCTACTTTTGAAATTTTATATACATATTAGATAGAAAAAAATGTCTTAATAGGATAGTATGATAACTGCTTTAAAAAACATAAAATAAATACATATAAAACTGTTTCTAATTCCCAATTAGCATTCATAAAAGGTATCACTTTTTTAAAGCAATAATTCAGTTATCTTTCAGCTGCATATATCTAATAATGCTAGAAACATCTAAAAAAATATACTGCATACGTATGTCAAATCCTGTAGATTTTCCTGTCCTACATTTTTCAGGAACTATTTAATTTTTTTACAGATTCTATGAGACTATGTTTAGATACACAGCTATTTAATGATTCTACAATCAGAACGTACCAACTGAAATGATCCCAAACACAGGAATAAAAAAATAAAAAATAAAAAAAATATAAAAAAAATAAATCTCAGGAAGATTTCTAGCTACAAACATAATCTGATTTATTTACAGCTTACATAAATTTTCAAAAAATGTAAAGTTATTTTCACTCTTAGCATAATCAGCAGAAGTTTTTAAAGCTATTTAATGCAAATGCAAATTAAAACGTCTTTCCCTCAGAACTAACCATGGAGGTAAGAAAGAAAGGAGTGGCCAAACAAGCATTAGAAGTGAAGCAACACTCCGAAGCTTTGGTCACCAGATGGGGTTTTTTTGTTTACATTCAGAAGCTCGCTTGACAGCTCTCTGATAGTATTTCGACACACGACGGTTCCATAAAAATCGAAAAACAGGAATTTCTGCATTAAAAAAATTCAAAATGTGATGGATAATAGCAATTTGTATAGTTTAGTGACATTTATGCAAAAATCACATCTTGGTTATTTTCGATAATTAACAACAGCAATTTTGATTATGAATTTGTTTTATAAAATTTCTAAGCTGTTGAAGCAACAAAATATAGATTTTAGCGAATAAGTTATGCTTAAAGAATGAAAAATACCTCACTGTACATTTAAAATTGTATACATATTTCGGATGAGTATTCATTATTGATGGAGTATTCATTATTGGAGTATTCATCAATGATGGAGTATTCATTATTTTTTTTTGTTCCAAACGCCAAAATGTTCTAAATAAAATAAATTTTTTTCACATCCACATATTATTGTAACGTGTACTTTTTTAAAATTAGTGTAAATTACTTTACTGAAATATAGTGAATGTACAGAATTAAAGATTTCCATATGCCGGAAATGAAAATTGTATTAAGCAAAAAGCTGTATCTGCATTTAACAAAATACGTAAATATTTATTAAATTATTTTAAATGCATTTGAAATGAAGGATTTATTCATTCATAACAACTGTGAAGTATGTGAAAAAATCTAATTTTAAATGTATCTAAATTTATAATGATTATAAATCTATCTAAATATATAAAAACCTTAACATTGAATTGTAAAATAAATTGACATCCTGTTGACAAATACATTATAAAACTAGTTAAGCAAGAATTGTTTATACTAGAAATCAATCTGTTAAAAAGTATAGTAAAGCACTTTCTACGAGATGCGTACTTAACAAAGTAATACAGAAGAGTTTTGGAATATGTATTGTTGAAATTTTGAGTAAAAAAAATCTGATAAGTATAATTAAAAGAATTATTCCCCTTACATTTTATAATAACTCAGTTACAAGTTTTAAATAATATTTAAAAAATAATCCTTATTTTATTCTCTTTCAGAAATATTCAGAGAAAGTTAAGTACTTTTTAAAGTATTTCGCTATTAAAATAAAAGGTGCTCTAATTTGAAATGGGCCGAATAGAGAATTAATTATAAATTGACTTATATTTCGATTTAAAGATGCCTCAGAAGTTAAAAAAACATGTCACATTGAGAAAGTATTTTAGGAAGAAGCTCCATAAATAGAAAAGAAATAAAGCATAATATTAATAATATATAAACTTTGATCTTAATTTTTGTACCTTAAAAACCGAATAAAATCGAATTACCTAATTTTTTTTTCTAATGTAATTAACGAAAACTTGTGAAAATATTTCATTCAAATTAAACCATTCTGAGAAAACTGTCCTGTGAAAAGTATAGCATTTAATTCCGTTCAGAATGAAATGTTGTTAAAAAATATGTTGTTTTCACATACTTAGGACTCTGAAGTGTTGAAGAAAAAGAAAATATATACATTTATATGCATATTTAAGCCGTAATTATAAAATATTTACATCCGATCATAATTTACCATTGAACTCAATGGTAAATTACCTAATGTTTTGGTCACCAATGCGGGATCGACAAAGCTTCAAAGCAGGGTATGGGAAAACCGGTTTAGGGCCACTCCATCTAATTTTCTACCTCCATGGAACTAACTGCTATTAACATCATTACCTTCAAATGATATTCCCTAAACAGATCATATCCAAAATATGAAAAAATCATTTTGCTTTTAACTTTTTTTTTTTAAATCTTTAAACTTTTCCTAACATGTTACAAGTCAGACAATGATCATATGTTTAATATTAAAAAATGCTTCATTTTACACATTCATAATTCGTTAGTTCTGGCACAGGTTGCCACACAGCTGTGAAATCTTCTTATAATACAAAAATAAAATTGCCCTATTTCTTACAGAATTTCAAAATACCAATTTGCAATAACAATTTATTTACCAAATTCTGTTTCCACAATTCCCATAGTAACTCATTCAATCGGTTCTCCAAATCCTCCTCTATTTTTATCTTCTCTACTTTCATTACTTTATTCTCCTTGCCAGATTCACCAATTTTATTTCTTTTTCCGGGCTTTTTAAATGTCTTTTTTACTTTCAATACTTTTTCAGGGGGTTGTTCCTCTTCATTTTCTGAAGCCTCTTTCTTTATTTTTTTTGTTTTAGAATCTTGATCATCCTTCTCTTGTAAAATCTTTTCATCATTCTCCTGAAATTAGATGGACTAAATTTGTATGTCAAACTAAAACTATCCCAAAACATATTTTGAAGTTACTTAAGCTACTCTGCTTCACTAGTACAAAAATATAGAGAAACAATTTTTTATACATATTTTTCTCAGTTCATGCCAAAGAGCATGGTGAAACTTCCGAAACTCAAATCTTCCTCTGACTAAAAACAGAAATCCATAAGAAGAAAGTGTTTTAAATAACTATTCAAATTACATGAAGCTACAGAAATTTAAAGTTTTATTCTACATTTCTATTTCCTCTTCATTTATTTGCATCATTAAATTCAGTAAGTTTTCTTCAAATTTTCTTCTTATCTTGCCCGGAGCTAATTTCAAGAATGATTAAGATTATGTTTTCATTCACAACACCTCTGATCCAAAGAACATTTTACTTCTGGTTCATTCAATTAATTCTCTGTGTATTCCATTACTGCGTCAGAAATGAATATGGATACAGCTTCTCAATATTTTAAGCCATACATCAAGAGAATAATGAATGATTGTAAGAAATTCAACTTATTTATATAAGGAAAAAATTTATACATATTGTTTTGCTCAACTTCCCACTAAAAACATAAGCAGATGTCAAGCTTTCATATACTTAAGTCTGCAGAATATAATTAAAAAAGATGCACATTTTATTGGCCTGAGTAACCTTACATAACTGATAATTTTATGAGTGCAGAACTAAATGAATGAATGATATTGTCTGAGAAAAGCATCAAACTTAATACTGTGAAACTTATTAAGAAAAATGTTATAATAGCAATTTTCCTTGACTGTATCCTGTACAATACCTGACACGCATTCTTAAAAAATTCTGAAGAAATATCAAATTTGAATCACTATGACTTCAGAAATGATCATAATAAGATATCACATTATTCTCACAGAATATTAAATAGCAGATAGATGAGTCAATAAGCCTTATGTCAATCTTTATAAAGAAAATTTCAGTAACGCAATCACATATCAGTAAGAATTGAATCCCACATCATATTACTAATATTCAATTGTTTTAATCACTGTACCAATCCAAGGATAGTCTATCAACTTATTTTGCATAGAATATAGTGCCCACAAACATTTAAGCTTTCATCCGAGACTCAATCAGACATCAGCATGGTATTTGTCTTAAACGATTCTCCTGATTAGATGTCATGGTAAGGATATACAGAAGGAACAAAAAAATAATAATAATAATATTTCATATAGGCATTTAGAACTTTAGAGGGAAAAGTTATATACTCATTCAATGTGCTAATATTCTTGCAATAAAATTTTTGTCCTTATAGTTATTTTTTAGATGATAAAGTTATTTTTTAGATGATAAAGTCACTACATGATTTTTATTTATTTATTTATTTATTTATTTATTTTTACTCTTAATCCTCCTCCTCAAACTCAACTAGCATTTTCATAGCACATGTATTTTCACTGTGCAAAAATCAGTACAGCTTCACAATTTTTAATTAAATAAACTTGTTCTGCACTGGCAGGTACTCTTCTTATGGAAATAAATCTCATGAAATAAACATTATTTTGCTCGTAAAAAATATATTTTGTTGCATATGGAATATGATAATGAAAGTAAGTACTAATATGAGCAATAATAAAAATGCAAGAAAGATAGCACATACACATTCTCTAAAAAGATGCTTGTCTCAAAAGTGTGACCCTTAAAATTTTTGGTTTAGCTATTACTAAATATAAGAATACCTATGCGTAAACAAAATTATTTAGCAGTTAATTAACCCTTAAAACTGTTAAAATAAATTGTACTTTAAAATGTACTTCCCTTTTAAATTATTTTTAATGTTTTGTTATATGTGACTACATTAAATATGATTTAATATCGTAAGTTCAATCCTTGAAATTATCAAATTTAAACACCTATAACTAATACAACACCAATGATTTTTATAGCAAGCTAATAAATCTTCTGCCTCAACATTATTTTATTTTCACATTTATATTATAAATTACAGCACATAAACTGCTGCACACATGCTATAAAGCAGAAAAATTTGAGTTGAAGGAAGTTTCACTAATTCAGATATTCAACATACATAACAAAATTAAACCACTTATTAATAAAATCACATTTTTTATATTACTGCTGTATAAAGATGACAGAAAATAAATACTTCATGCATATACCAGAGTTATTACAAATAATTAACCTAATGTAAACCAATAAACAGATGAGCTGCCAGTTAACTACTTCAGTCAGAATTAAAAAAATAATAATAATATTGAATTTGGCACTTACCTTATATGCATGCTAATATTAGATGTAGCCAATGAGGTTACAAATAAAAAATCATTTTTAAAAAATTTCAAAAGTGAAATAATAATAAGTGATAGGTTGAAAAATAGGATGCTCAGCGCAATCTGTTTCAAAATGATAGGAAAGATTTCATGCAGCCACCAAGTTTCTTGAAAGGTTCTCACAAGAAACTAAATCCCATACAAAAGGAAATAGCAAATGCAAAACTTTTTTAATGCATGCATCACACTAAATGTTCCTTTCTTTCTCTGCCATAAAAATTCTGATTTTTTATTTTCAAATTTTTCTCAGAAGATTTTTAGGAATAACTTTTTAATATTGTCTACATTTCTGATTATCTAAATTATAAAATGTCGTAGAATCTGTCACAGAATGGACATTTTAGAAACTTAAGTAAAAGCATAAAAAATTATTTCAGAAAAGCTTTGGAAGTCCCAGAATCAGGTTTGTTACTCTAGAATTTTAAGCTAAATTTTAAAGATGTCCAGCTAATATACGAAAATTGTGTACGTTACCTGGCATTTGAAATTACTTTTTGGTCAGTTAAAAGAACAAACATTTTTGCCCCTAAAATGAAGTTGCTGCATCTGTAATTCTTCAGACACACAAATTTTAGTATTTTTAGCAATAATAGCAAAAAAAACCAAGAATCAGAATCCATTTTTTTTTTTTTTTTTTTCCCCTAAATCTCGTGCTGCTCAAATGTTTATATATTCATAAATATGTGAAAAGGCCATAAAAATTTTCAGGGAAAAAAGGAAGGTAGTCAGCCTTTTATCGGGTTTTAACGAAAGTTTTCCGCAATTAAAAATATCGTCTGCGCAAACAGTTCACGTTGGCGTGTTTAATCATATTTTTCGTCAAACAATTTTTGGCATTTGAAAGGAAGAGACTTTTTCTAGAACACTGTGTTGTGAAATTTCTAAAAGAATATTGTTATCATTAAGTACAAGGTGTCTGAAATGGAACCATCACACTGCCACATTAGAAGCAACACTTACTTCCAGTTCTGTTACGAAAAGTCAGATACGGAATGTCAACAAATCATGTACAGTCAAAAGTCTTTAATCCGGACTCGTAAGGACTTCGGCGATTCCGGATTATCGATTTTACCGGATTATAGATCATCAGTTTAAATCTGGTAAGATGGCACGCAGAAATTATAAAATTAAAAATATGAAACCGTAATTTATAAAATAATGAGCAATTATGATCTAAAGGGTATCAAAATTGACAAAAAAAAAGAAGCTTAATATTTATTTGTTTACTTTATTAAACATTTCTTTCAACGCGCGCATGCGTAAAGCATACCTTACGCATAGCCGAAATTAGAAAATTGCAACCAGAAAACTATTTGATTTATATTCGTGATATTTATAATGACGAGGAATTTGATTTAAATCATATCAAAGACGGAGTACATCGAGATTAAATACTACATTTAGTAAGGATTTATAAGCCAAATAAAATAAAAACATCTGCCCTGAAGATAACGATAGTGCTGACAGATCAACTTCCAGTTCATTGCGCGCTGCACATGTGTCTGCATTCATTGGCTGGACTCTGTATGAACTAAAATAGGATCTTTAGCCTTACCCACCATACAGCCCCAACATCGTTTCCTTCAGACTTCTACCTTTTTTCACACCTTGCAGTTACATCTTGCTGGTACTACCTTCACTTCAGCATAGGAAGTCCGAAACGAGATTGATCTGCTTTTGGACTCGCTTCTACCAAGTTTCTGGGCCAAAGGCTTTGAAAAATTCCCAAACCATTGGCAGAAAATCATACATTTGGATGGTGATTACAACCCACAATAATGGTACTACTGCTTTCATGTTTCTTTCCCTAACTTTATTAAAAACGTTTTGGGGCAGAAAACTTTTGGGTTAGTCTATATTTTAGGGTGCTCCTTGGATTATCGTCAAGTTGTTGTTTCATTTATCATAACTTGAATAGTTAAACATTAGAAACTGTTATGATGTGATTGGTTGCATGATTGCGGTGAATTTGACTGATGGGATATATATGTAATGGAAGAAAAAATGCAATCATGACTAAAGGTAACAGTCTGGTGTGGAATGACATCTACCAGATCCACTGGTCCATATGTGCTACAAGTCAACATGAATGCTGAATGATATTTGGAGATGCTTCAAACGTACATATGGCCTGTAATTCAAGAATGGCGAAATGTACATGAATTGCCATTCATGCAAGATGGAGCTCTGCCCCACTTTGCAATTCCAATGATAGTAAAGCTTGATGATTCCCTGGCATCTAATCTATCTGCCGATGATCAACAGAATGGCCTGCACATAGCTCTTAACCCCCTGCAACTTCTCCTTTTGGGAATGGGCTAAAGAATAAGTGAACAGATTCTTAACAGTGTTAAGCACAATATCCGTGAGGTGTTTGCAAATGTCCGAGTTTGGATGATACAAAGAGCTGTTAAGTCTATACTTAACCCTTTTACAGGTGGTGGTAAATATCTTACCACTAAGCAATTTGTTTTCTAGCAGCATACGGAAAATTATTTACCAGCGCCTGATATCAGGAATTTTCCTCTGGAACCAGAGCTTCACATTTTCTGTAATAGGTGGCTGTAGAGGCCACGTAAACCGCAACATTTCTGCATTCATCCAATTTTCAAGCAAAATGGAGAGGGTAAGCATGTACTCTTTTCTTA